ATGCCGAATGCGACCCATCGGTTAAAATATCAATAATTTTGGATATGCCATGTCCTAATAAGCCGACTATGATAAAAGGTAAAATTGTTTTAAGGCGGTTTTTTATATAAATTTATATATAATTGTTCCTAAAGAGTCTACTGTTCTCAATTATATATTGTGAGGACCACGACTCAAGAGCCGTATGCAGGCGTTAGCTGGACGAACTTTGCACAAAACGAATATACTTTTTTTATTTCAAGACCGAGCAATAAAATTGTGAAACCGGAAAATTTACTTTTCTGTTTTTCAATTAAATAATTGAAGAGGTTAAACAATAATAATACAGTTTTCAATAATGCACAAAATTTAATGAGAACACTTATTTAAGATATTGTAAACTTTTTTATTGTATATAGACGATAAATGGAATAAATAAATTATTAGAGTTTCTCATATATTTTTATAAATAGTTATCAAAGCTTAAAAGTTATGCTCGTTTGTTGTCGACGATTTCAAAGAAAAGCTGCATCAATCGGCTCGTAATGTTGTTTTTGAACTGTGTTATTAGGTCATTAGGGTGGTCAGTTTGAAAAGGAAACACATTCCGTAAAAGGTAGTTTATTGAAGGCCATTTTTAAAACTGGTTGGCACTAGAAGTAAAAGAATTTTCAGAAAATTAAAAGTATAGTGGGTGAAATAAAATAATTACTATCATAAATACCTCTTAAGTTATTAATTTATGCCATTTTTAATCTTGTCGTACGTATTTTTAAGCCCGTCTTGAAGGTCATTTTTAATCTTGTTGACATCATGGTCATCCTGCTCATGGTAGTAAAAGAAATACACCAACAACCCAACAATAACAATGACCACAAAGAATGCACTGATTATCGACAGTAGCATACTAAGTGCGCAGCTGAAGCAGCTGAAAATAAGGAGGAGGTAAATATCAATCGATCAGCTGGAGAATATGTTATATCTTTGATAAATGTGTAAGTATTAATATTATGTAATCATGAATATATCATACACACTCACACAACATATTCATATTTTTACTGCATATAACTATCATATTTACATATATGTATGAAACAAATATGAATATACATATTCATATAATAATAAAATGTGAACATTTATTTTAATTTTGTTATACCCTCAACCCATTGTAAATGGGAAATCAGGGTATAATGGTTTTGTTAAAAGTATGTAACAGGCAGAAGGAGGCGTGGCAGAC